TCTTAGGAGACAATGGAAATGAAACTGTCAGTGTACGGCCACAAAAGTGCATCTGTCCTCGGAATGTCTAAACCCTTACCAAGTTTAAAAAAAAAAGACGTTGCCAACAGAGATGGATCAGTTCAACTAGACACATAATCAAAAGAGTTGTGTTTCCACCCAGGAGTTTTAGCAAGCTGCTTTGATATTTCAAACAGAAAAATTCAGCTCCAAGGAAGCATAGTCACTTTTGGAAAACTGTATTATTTAACCTAGACTCTCTTGTTTTCAAATTTTAGAAGTTTGAAAGGTAGAATCCTTTACAGTCTAAGTTGTCAATAAAATAGACCTCCAAGTTATGTTAGTGTACTTTTCCCCCCAATAGGAAGCTGCAATTTCAGCAGCAACTTACAGGTATTCAGAGACATAGTGTCCTCTCTTTAGTGTCACAGAATCTGCCAACTTTTTAGAGAAGGGTTTCTACTCAACTAGGGAACTCTCCTTGAGAAGGTCTTTAAGCATAAGCTGTCAAGTGTAACCTCCTAAAATGAATTGCCCACTTAGTAGTTGGCACAAAGCAGGGTGACTGGGTTTATACAAAAACAGCTCTGACTGACTGCTTGCTGCTCAAGATTCCTTACTACTAAGAGAGGCATACCAAGGCCTACGCTTTGGCAGCGTTAGAAGGTTCTTATTTGCTCTGTTCTATAGACTACAGAAAAACAGCACAGCCTCACAGGAACTTGGATCATTTATAATTTTGGTCTAGCTCCTAAAAAATCACAGAGGGAAAAGGAGTGACATTTCTTCTGTTTTGGATTTTCTCTGATCTAAGAGCTCAAACTAGTGCCTGATTTTGTAAATAAATGAACAGGTATATCAGTTTCATTCTTTAGCACAGACATAGAAACAACAGAATAATAAAACTAAAAGCATGTAAGTCCAGATACACTCTCTGCCAATTTTTGGCTAAAGGGTGCAGATGATTCATGCTTTACGTTAAGTGTGCCACTAAAATATGTTACTAAGAAGCACTCATATTTTGAAGAGTAACTCAGTGATCACTGTTAGGTCTAAGAATCACCCAAATTCCCTTACTCTAAATCTATACATTTGGGATGAAAACATATCAAAGGAGATGTATCTTCTTTACAAACATTAATGTCAAGAGCTAAACACCTTTCAAGTCCAACCTAAGAGAATGAATGGCCCTGGCCAGTGTGGCTCAGTTGGTTTAACATCATTCCTTGCCCCTAAAGGTTGCTAGTTTGATTCCTGGTCAGGGCACATACCCAGGTTGTGGGTTCAGTCCTTGGTTGGGATGCCATATGGGAGGCAACCTATTGATGTTTCTCTCTCAACATCAATGTTTTTCTCTCTCTCTCTCTTTCTCCCTCTCTAAAAAAATCAATAAAAACATATTTTAAAAAGGACTTTTAAAAGACTGAATGACTGATGCTTCTTTCTATCAGCACAAGGTTCACCATTCACAATTTTCATGGGTGTATCACAGAAAGATCACAGTTATGTCTCAGTCAGGAATGGTCAGTAATCCAAACCAGGAATCTGTTTTTCATAAACACAAATAAGAGGTTGGCTCCCATCAGTTATTTTCAAATTATGCTGCTGTGGAAGCTAGACCAACGTGTCTGTCTTACCACCTAAATGTAATTGCAGAAATGTCCACCAACCGGTGAACAAAATGTGTTACAGCCATACAATGGAATGAGTATTAGCAATAAAAAGAAACCAACCAGTTCACAACCCGAGTGAACCTCAAAAACATTATTTTAGGTGAAAGAAGCCAGATGCTCATGACCATGTATTGTATGATTCCGTTTGTATAAAGTGTTCAGAAAAGTCAAATCTAAAGAGACAAAAAGGAGATTAGTGGCTGCCTGGGGCTGAAGGTGGTGACTGGAAACAGGCACGTGGGATCTTTTTGAGGTCATGAAAATGTTCTAAAATTGGATTGTGGTAATGGTTGTACAATTTTGTAAATTTACTAAAAATCATTGAATTATACACTTGAATAAATTTTTAGTATGTAAATTATACCTCTAATTAAACTGTTTTTAAAAAAAAACAAAAAAAGTGGGGTCAAGAATGCCTTGAATAAAGCCACTCTTTTCCTCTGGGGGGAAATATAATTGCAGTCAAATTTTTCTAATATACAAGAAAAATAATTTAATGAATAGAATTTTCTCAAGTTAAAGTTTTTCATTCATTCATTTACTGGCATCCGCTACTAAAAGTTTAGTTTTTACTTAATTTGCATGAAATTGATATTTAACTATTTTAGGTTTAATATCTCAATATTTCATAAGATTAAACCCAGCACCCATGATTCCTAAGTTCTTCCTAACCTAAGCAAAAGAGAAAACCACTTTTCCCCTCTTAGCGCTCGGCGCCGACTGCCTGGACGCCTCTTGTTTCTGCTGCTCCCCAGCTCCCGGGTCAGTGACACCATCGGTTTTGGAGGCCTGAAAAGCCCCACGGGTCCCCAGGTGCCCAAGATCTACCCGGTGGACTACACTGAGCGGTACGTGCCACCACGAGCAGATGTGGCAGGATCTGAAGCAGTCTCCGGCCCCCCACCTGCCAACTGGCATCATGCCCTACGCTGGTATAATCACATCAGGTCCTACGAAAAGGAAAAGGCCAGGCTGCCAGGCGCGAAGAAAGCTTGGGGCGAGCATGGCCCTGCTAATGTGGAAGACACACAGGAAGTGGAGCTGCAGAGAGTGAAGACGATGGGGACACTGATCTCTTTGGATCTGATGAGGAGAAGACAAGATAAGCAAGAAGGCTAAGAGAAGAACGCCTTGCAGAGTGTGGGCCAAAGAAAGCCAAGAACCTGCACTTGTGCCAAGTCTCCCATCTTATTAGACGTGAAGCCTTGGGATGAGACGGAATGCAAAGCTGGAGGGAATCGGGGCCATCCAAGCAGATGGCTTGGTCTGGGGCTCTTCTAAACTGGTTCCCGTGGGGTATGGAATTTAAAAACTTCAAACACAGCGTGTAGTGGGAGATGAGAAAGTTGGGACAGACATGCTGGGGGAGAGGATCGCTGCTTCTGAGAACTGTGTACAGTCGGTGGACGTGGCTGCTTTCCACAAGATCTAAAATCCATCCTGGATCACTGCCCTTAAATACAAGCTTGAAAGATTAAAAGAGAAAAAGAAAGCCACTGGCCCGAATAACACGTAAGTTCCTTTACACATTTTAGATTTGACTATTTAAATCAGTGTAAGACAAGATGTGGTCTGAAACTAAGCTGGTTGAAGTCACTGTCAAAGCTGATGATTGCGGATGTGGTGCCTAATCTATGATCTCAGGTGTCCTGGAGGATTCCAGTGTTGTGTAAATTCCACGAGGACAGGAATGTGCGCTATTTACACAGGGCTGGATCCCCCCTGGTGTCTCCAACACAGAGCACAGTGCCCTGCAAAAGGGGCACTCAATAAATATTGGTTCAGTGAATTCATTAATAGGCTGAAAACCCAGATACACCAAATATTTTCTAAAACTGAATGGAAACACAGGCTCCAAATGCAGGAACATCTTCATGCTTAGCAAAATGTAAATTCACTTAACCATGTAATTAAATTGATAGTAACATTTTGCCATCATGAATGTTTTTTCATCAATACATGGCCATGTAATTTTGATGTAAGTATCTCAGTTCACAAGATTTGAAACACCTACTTTCAAAGACTTTTAAATTCCCTCCAAAATCTTCAGTTTTACCCCCTTTTCAGTTCTTACCCCAGACAAGTAAACATACACCTCATCTTTTAGTTTTGGCCAAACACAGCTTATATTTTTCATCTTTGGCCAGAACTTGGATTAGGACTCAAGCCCACAGTCCAGCACATTATAAATCACTCAGCTAACCAATAACAGGCTTGTTTTGATTCACAGACTATCAAGGTGAATAAATAATTCAACTGAAATAGTATCTATTTGTTCCACAAGCCTCTTTGCAGTTAGAGCAGGTTTAAGTCATTTAGCAAATACAAAGATGGGCTCCTTCTTATGAAGTTCGCCTGGGTCACAGGAAGTGAAACTGTTTTCATTCCTTCTGTAAATTGAGGAGCCACGGGGAGGGCATTCCCAGCCTTAGGCACAAATTCCTCCCTGTCAGCCACCTTCACCCTCTAGGGGAAGGAGGAGGGACAGCCCAGCGGGAAACAACAGCACCGATTGTGTCCATCAGGGTACCTGAGACTCCAGCTCAGATCACATTTCTGGCAGACCTGACTTCTGCAGAGCTGAATATTTAATAGCATTAGGTAACATCAAAAGGACAGATTATCTTTTTCTATGGCAAGTGCAGAATACAGTGATTCCCCTCTGTATTTCGATGCTTCATCTAGTCTATAAACCAAGAAAGTGGAGGAGGCCTGGAACCCTAAGATAAAAGAACTGCGGTGTAATGGCACAGACACAGCTTCAGCTATGTTCAGGGCTAATTGATTCTTCTGATTTTTACATATGTACAGATATAGAATTGTTTTTCCTTAGGAAGAAAGTTGAAAACCACAGCCACATCATCTCATCTAACACCCCCCCCCCGGGGGGGGGTCCTGCATTACCCTCTTAGTAAGACACAGTAAGCCAATATTTATTGAGCGCCCCTTTTGCAGGGCACTGCGCCTCTGCACGACTGCAGGGCTCTGCAACTTCCAGCTGGAACACCCCAGGGCCACCTGGGCAGGCTGGGCCTGCAGCTGCAGAAGCCAGCACGAACCAACGAAGGGTAAGACAACCAACCTCATTCATTCATTCCTCTGGGCTCTTAAACATACTCTCGGCAATAAAAAATAAAAAAATAAAATGCATACCTCAAAAAGGGACATAAGAAATAAAATAAATTGCGGGCGCAGTGACCTGTCAGAGCCGCGATGAGGGGCTTCACAGGTGAAAGCGAGTTTTCCGGAGGGTTTTCTCCCAGGCCCTGAGCTGAGCAAGCAGAAACCCTAAATAATGGGGTGTGCATGGGGCGCCCGAGGACTCACTCTTTTCCTCCTGGAGCGGGGGTGGGGAGGGGAAGCCACTGTCCCCTCCCGGAGGAGCAGAAACTTCGCGCCCAGGCACTCGCAGAAGACAGCTTTCCCTGGGGCGCACTCTCCTCTCACGGGCCTTTTCGGGGAGATGTCCGTGGTGAGCTGGGCTGCGGGGAGGAGCCCACTCACCTGGGGGTCGCCCGGCGCGCGCCCGGGTCCGCAGCTCTCCCGCCTTGGAGGGCGCTCAGGGCGCGCGGGGGCCGGCGGTGCTCGCTCCCCGGGATCTCCCGCTGGGTGGGCCCGGGTGCGCCCCGAGCTCCTCCGGGACAGACTGGGCTCCACCCGCAGGGCGCGCCCCGGGCAGAGTCCGGCGTCTGGGTGGCTCTGGGGAGGAGCCTGGACTCCCGCCGCGCCCAGGCGCGCGCTCGCTGCTCCACGCACCCGGGGGCGCGGGGCCTGCACCCCAGCACTCGGCTCCCAACACTGCACCCCTCTCAGCAGAGGTATAAGGGGGGTGGGGAGCTGCTGCTGCTTTTAAAGAAGGTTCTGTTCGCACTCGAAGTTCGTAAACTTTTTTACTGTTGTTTATAATTTAACTTTTTATTTTGGAGTAATTTTAGATTTAGGACAAAGTTACAGACAGTACAGACCTAAGCCCTTCAGCGGGTGTCCCCTCATGCTCACACCTTTCAGTACCCCGATACGTTTGTCCAAACTAAGAAGTCAGCGTTGTCCGTAACTAGCAACTAAACTGGACTGTGCACACATTTCACTAGTTTTCCCCTAATATCTTTCTGTTGATCGCATCAGGGTTCCACACTGAATTTAGTGTCCTGTCTCTTAATCCCCTCTGGTCGGTGACAGTGTCTCAGCCCTCTCTGGTTTTTGTTTGNCTAGTTTTCCCCTAATATCTTTCTGTTGATCGCATCAGGGTTCCACACTGAATTCAATGTCCTGTGTCTTAATCCCCTCTGGTCGGTGACAGTGTCTCAGCCCTCTCTGGTTTTTGTTTGACGTTGGTAGTTTTGAAAAATTCTGCTAAGCTATTTTGTGGATTTCTCTGCTTGGTTTTGTCTGTTTTCCTCGTGACTAGACTGGTGCTGGGTTTGGTGAAGGAAGACCACAGAGGTGAAGTGCCTTTGGG